TGCTGGATGATCTCTTTATCTCTAAGCACGTCTCTACATGAGCTTCCAGTGCAGTATACTGCCCACATCTTTTACCTACCAAAGCCCACCACAAACATAACAACATATTTATAGATGGTACAACTCTTGAAACCAAAAGTACTACTACTAATTCACAATAAAAGGAAGAAGAACTCCCATTTTATTTATTCAGAAATATAAGAACTGGTGCTCTTTGATATTTGTTGATACATACATACAACAACATACAGTTCGATTTGGGAAATTACATAAAAGCAAAAGTGTTAGGGAAAAAAACCACTTAAAACGGTGGTTAAGTTCATACGGAAAGAGAAGGAGAAAGACCGAACTCAAGTCCCCACAGCTCAAATCCTCCATTCACGAAATCATAGTGACCTCCCTTCAATGCTAGTGTTTTCTTCACCAAACCTTCTCTCACAAATGGATAGGTTAGCAAATTTCCAAGTGACACATTCACAGCTTCCTGCAATTTGTAATAATTTCATAATCAGCTATAATTAAACTGCTAACAAATATTCAAATAGTATAAAAAAGGGTTGCCCAGTGCACAAAACATTTTGCGTTCATGCAGGGTCCGAAAAAAGACCGCACCCGAAGGGTGTGATGTAGACAGTTTACCCTAATGCACGCATTAGTAGCTATTTTCACGGCTTGAACCCGTGACCTACTGACAAACTATCCCAAACTAAATAAAGTTACCTTCTCACAAGCTGTGCATTGATCTGCAAAACATTTGTCCACGTGTTCACCCTGCACCTTGGCCTTGGCAGGTAAACCAATTTTCACCCAATCCTCAATAAAGGCACTGCATTATTAGATTAATTTAATTCGTGTATTATATATATAAGTGACATAACAAAAGTGTTTCAAAGGTATATATACTTGTAGAAAAAGATTAAAGGTACGTACGTTGATTCAGAACCATCTGCAGGTAGAGACATGAGACCTTTGATACCTCCACATGCGCTGTGGCCAATGACAACAATGTTCTCTACCTTAAGGTGGAGAACAGCGTATTCGATAGCTGCTCCGACTCCAGAGTATCTGGTCTGTTTAATTGATCATAACACAAGCATATTCAATCCCAAATTCAAAATTTCAATTCCAACTAGTTTGGACCAAAAAAATTAATTGATGGATTGATAAGATTAAAAAAACTAATGGTTAGAGATGTAAATAATTGACCTTGTCATAAGCAGGGACCATGTTGGCGATGTTCCGAACCACGAAAGCTTCACCAGGTTGGAAGTTCAGGATATGGGATGGGCACACTCGTGAGTCAGAGCAGGCAAAGACCATGTACTGTTACACATATATGGCAATAGCAATCATCAACTATGGAACTTGGAGTTGTATAATAAAGAGTGAATATGGAGACAGATACTTAAACTTGTCCGAATTTTTCATTTAGACACCTAAACTAAGCCCTATTGAACAACCCGAACTAGTTAATTAAGAGATAAATTGACAAGTAGCATAGAATTTTTACCTTGGGGCTCTGGCCTTTTGATAGTTCTCCATATAAGGCTGGGTTTTTCCTGTTTGACGTAAAGAGAAATATGAATTATAAGTCAGCAATGTTTCGAAATTATTTGTTCTTGAAATATTAGGCAGAAATTTAAATTGAAGAAAGTGAATTAGCTTACTCATATTTCTCAGTTTTGAAGTGAATAAAGCCAGCTTTCATGTGCTCAACAGGGTCGAATGGTTTGCTGCCATCTGATGATTGCAATTCAGCTGTAATCTGGTCAACTCTTGCTGCAGCAATTGGTCCAAGTTCTCCTTTCTCGCTGTAATTGTCATAATTTTCAATATTCAATACCCTTTTTTTCGGTTTATTAAAGCGGCATTTTAGGAAGGAATAAAAATTCAAGTGGCGTAAACACATTGTTTTTTCTTTTTACCAGTTACCGACATTGAAAAGAGTAACTAGCGCATCTATTTATGAAAATAATAATTTTACATATATGAGTATATATTATTCATAATATGTGTTCCACATACGTATATTTCCTAGGCCCTCTTGATCGAGAGGGAAAAAAGATTAGCAGAGTTCGCCTACAACAATAACTATCAGTTGAGTTTTCAGATGGCCTCGTAAGAAGCCTTATATGGGAGGCAATGCCGTTCTCCAGTTGGTTGGTTTGAGCCTAGGGACGTATGATTTTAAAGGGTAGATTACAAACCTGAGGAGTTTCTCGAGTGCAGCAATGGCCTGCTCGTAGGATTCGTTAGCCATTTCTTCTCTCTGCAAATCCACATTTTCCATCAGAATTTTGAAAATATGATACTAAAATTTTTTTCTCTTAATTACTATGTCTAGAATGTATAACAAATTAACATCGAAAGAGAGGGATGAAGCAAACCTAAATACGATGTGAAATAATCAAAATTAGAAAGCAGTGTGGATAGCAGAAATGACAGAGGAGTTGCACTTCACGCTTGTTAAAGTGCACTCACAGCGAAACCCAAACTTAAAATCTAGCTTGGTGAAGAATTGAAATAATAGGATAAATCAAGAAGATGGGTTTTCTTCAATTAGATATTAAAATCGAAAAATACCCAACAGATACCTACAAGAAAGAACAAAAAAAAAAAACGTTACAGAGCAACTAAGACGACAAGAAATACGTTATAAATGGACATCGTCCTACGATTTCTGTGGTAGTTATTACTTGTAGGATTGAATTACTGAATTTGTCTAACAATTAGCAAAAAAAAAAAAAAAAAAAAATTAGAAATATTTTTTAATAAAAAGAAAGAGTAAAAACATTGTCCACATAATCCACAAACTGACCCTACTAGTCATTTTTGCGAGAACCTCTAGTTGATTGCCACCTCTTCATTTTTTGGTTCATTTTCAAGATTGTTATAATGCCATAGACTGCACGTAAATATAACAATGGAGGTGTATACTTGATCAAAATGACAGCACTTCACCTAACTTCAGGAGATTCATGGCCAAAATAACTATTCCTACCCTACGAGTTATTTAATGTAATGCAAATCACGTGAACTAACATGCATGGAGATTTATGGTCATTACAAAGAGATAAACTACTCGCTAGCTAAAAAAACAACGTATTGGTTGAATTTAGTTGGGAAAAAAGGAATACCAAGATAGAGTAAATAACTTGTCGTAACAAGTTAAAGTACATTGACAGTGCAAAATTTTAAAAACTTTATAATGTCAGTGTATATAAGTTAAGTTCGTACCAAAATGGGGTTGATGATGGGAGTAGGGGCGGCGAAGACGGGCTCGTTTCGGATGAGACTGGGAACAGAAGGAGAAGAAGAAGAGTTGCTAACCCTAGCAAAAGCAACAGGACGAGTTGGTTTCTTAAGGGAAGCTTGAGCAGGGGAGATAGTAAGGCAGCTGTTAATTGAAGCAGTTGACATTTGGCTCAAGAACTTCCTTTTAGATTTTGCTTGATTTTATTACTCTTCTCACTCACTAGTATATATTATATAGTTGTGAAATGGGTCCTGATCATGGGTCGGGTCACTTACATATAACAGTATTATAACAGAGTTGAAAGCGATTGCTAAGCAAAGGAGAACTTCAATCCATTGTAGATGAGGTTTGTACGTTGGAGATTGAATTTGCAGTACTTTTGCCTGGAGTTAAAAGCATATGGCTAAGAAGCCAAGAACCTAAGATTTTTTGTTATTTGAGTTAAAGGAGAGAATAACTGAATACTAGTTATCGTTATGGTTGAATATGGGGCATGTTGTTTTTTTCTAGTGGGGCAGTTATTTAATCCCCAATATCAATTTCCACCTACATTTGCATTCTTTTTTAGGTTGCCGTATGGTTCGTTGTGTCATTTTCATGGTTTGGATTATGCATGCAATGGCCATTCGCCTCGCCAGATTCATTCTAATGACCTTCTATTAATCGCCATAATCTCAATTAGCTTCTCTTTTGTTCTTGTTTGCACATTAATTTGCAATTTCATTTCCGAAGTGATCAGGACTAATTTACTTAATTCTAAATCAACAATTATTGCTCCTCTTAAGGGCGGATGTACATGTGATGTAGAGAGTTCAATTGGATTCCCTTCACCGAAAATTTAGACTACCCCAATAGTGTAACAATATTTTTTTTCTTACCTATAGTGACAAAGTCGGTTTCAAAAATTACTTTTGTTCACGTGTTTGAATTTGGATTCTTCCTTTTTATTTAACCCATTTGTTAAAATTTCTTACTCCGCTACTGACTCCTCTTGTTTTTAGTGAGAATAAGGAGATCAATCTGCGCCTAGTTTTTGCTAGTAAGAGTCCAATGCAAGGATTAGAATAAACGTAATAGAATTAGAAGGATTAAAATCTCTAGTACTTGTGAGTTAAGTGATATTCGATTTAAAGTATGTATATTATATGCATATTACCTTGCATTTTACTCATGTTTCGTAGATTTCGGATGCGTACTGTAATAATTTATACTAATTCATGGTGTTTATGCGTGCAGGAGTCATCCGGAGGCAATGTAGGACGAAAGTGTACGATTTGAAGCAAAAAGGAAAAATGAAAAATTGGGGCATTGTAGCGCCCAGGCTAGCATGGGGCGTTATGCAAATCCAGATGCAACAAAATTCCCAGCGCCAGGGTTAGCTAACCAAAAATAAATAAAAGCTTATTTTGGACAAAGTGATGAGAAAATAATAAATAAAAGCTTATTTCAGACAAGTAATAAATAAAAGCATGCACACTTGCACAAGGCATATAATTAATATCGTATTTTTGGATTTTAATTAATCTAAATTCCTTAAATTACCTTTAAAGCTTCAATTAGCTTCAACTAACGATCTAAATCAAATAACCTTTTTTTTCATGTCATATGTTCGAAAAAGGCCAAATATCCTTATCAGATCAATGCTCGCCACATCCCACAAACTAAAAGAGGTAGCTAAAGTGACATGTGTCAGCAGCTGCTGAAGTTGTATTCAAACGAACTGCAAATTCAAATTAAAAAAATCTGTATATACAAAAAGAAAAGGAATGGAGCATGATAAAATGAAAGGCAAACGAGAAAGGTAGTGGATGAGAAAAGATAAGGTCCTATCTTCACTCAATTGCACCAGTGGCTGTAAGTCAACAACTTCATGCCCGCCCCATATCACAATCTTTCAAATTTTATCTGCTTCAATTTTGAATTTTCAGTTTGGTAGAATTTTTTGGTTATTGCTATTAATGAATGCTGGCCATATGTGTTTCTGCAACAGTATGATCAGTGACATTGTGGAAATACTTGCACTTTCACTATAATTTTACAGGGTCTAACAAGTTACTCAACTTCTTTTTAGTTATCAATTCATGTCTACTCTAAACACTTATGGATTGAATTGATAACCAAAAGAATAATTCACCTAAAAAATTCTAAATGAATTTGTTGCACAAGCATCAACTTTATTATATTTTCCGTAGTACTCTTCTATGTCACTTTATTTACAATATAAAGAGATGATATTTCTCACCTTTGCATAATGTTGGCAGTCACCATTGCACATTGGCTTGCACATTGCCTTATATCTGTTTCTTTCCCAAAAGCCCCTGCTCCTTTTAGATCATTTAGAACTTTTTTCAATAAGTAGTGCGCAGGCTAATTTTCCGGCACCTCGACTATTCCACTAGATACTTATTCTGTGCACCAAAACTTAGGTATATGGAAAAAGATCGCCTATTAGATAGTTTAGTACTTACCATGTCGATGTATTCTTACATATATACTTCTATTAGCAGATTGCGATTAGTCAATTGCAAGAACCTATGCTTTCTTCCGCACACCTGAGCTACGTTGCTCGAACTCTCTGAAAATATTTTCAGGTGCATATCAGATCCTTCAAAAGTAGTATATTTTTAAAGGATCTGACACGTGTACTGCAGCATTTTAGAAAGTCCGCGCAACATTGCGCCTGAGGCAATGATCTTATAGGAGTTCACAAGATGGAGCTTATATATCTACTATCCAGTATCTTCCTTGAGATTGTATGGAAAGTGGAGAGAGAGTCATCTCATTTTGGCAATGGATGCTAGCAGAAAAAATCTGGATTTATGCCCTCTTTCAATCCATGCAAAAGTTCCTTATGCCTCTTTAAGCAATTTGAGAATGTCTATATCACTACTCATGGTTTCGACATATTAGACACATTAAACGGTGACGACATGTAGTGAAATGCTATAGATAGGTCAGATTTACAAAAATGGCAAAAATTGTTGAATTTTCTGACTTAGAAGCTGAAAGAATGTTGTCATGCTATTGCCATTTCTTCCAAGTGGAATTGAAATTTGCAAAGGACAAAAATCCTCTTAACCTTAAGTCGCTTTCTCATCTCTGGATGTATTGATCGTGAATAAGGAATTCAGTTCAAATGATTAATTAACAAATTAAAGAGTCAACAGTAAAAAAGTTACCTTTATAATCTATAATATATTCATTGATACCAATATATAGTATATGTTGCGGCCAAACGCACACGTAAGTATATGCGGTCGTCAAGTAATAAAGTGACTAAAAGTCAGATGTCGAATCTACGAGCACTTGTGATTAACTATTAACTAAATTAGACTATCCTATGTATCTAACAAGAATTAAACCTAGAAATATTTGATTCTAAACTAATTAAAATAGAGAAAACAAATAATGGACTCTGAACAAAGGAAGAACAACTTTTTATGTTATCAATGTGATGAACACGATCTAGGGTTATGGGCTATCTAACAATCCTATGGTATTCTTCGATTGAATTGACTAACTAATTTATCTAGTTTATTGGTTAACAGGGTTAATATTGCTCATAAGAATCTATCGAATTCTTACTCGCCCTATTCAAGCTAACCTAACGCCTATATGCCTATGGAATTAGAACTAGCAAGAACGCATTTATAATTCCTGTAAATCAACCAAGCAAGGCAATTAGATATATGTCTATCCTAACCACGAATCCGTTCCCTGATGCCTAGGTTCAAGATCCTGCTCTACTCTATCCTATGTGCAATTTAGAACTCCCACTATCGAGTGCAATTCCAGATTCGTAGATAGCATTCAATTGGTGATCAAGCAATCAAATAATTAAGCGCATGATTGAATAAATAAACCAATACGACAAATCAACAAAGCAAAATCAATATCAGAATAACAATAGTCATGAAAGAACCACAACCCTAGAACGTGAAGTTTAGCTCTACATAGACATGATACCCAAACAACAAATCATACAAAGAAACATAAGAATTACTAAGTTTGATGGAAGAAAAGATGAAACCCGGCCTCCACGGCGTTCTGTGCTCTCGCTAGGTCAAAAGTTTGTCAAAAGTTAAAAAATAACGTTTTTACATGTATTTTTATCATGTAGCGTCGGGCAGCGTCGGGCCCAGAGCAAAACACCTTCTCCCGCACAAAATAGGAAAATAACTCTGTAAAAATTGCATAGGTGCGCCGTATGGGGCAACGCGCCACGCTGTATGCTTGTGGGGAACTTCAGAGAGCATGCAATTTGAGGGCAGCAGCAATTTACACAGCCGCAGTGTGCTAAGCGGCGCCCCAGGCGGCGCGGATATGGAAATTTTGAAAATTGTAAAACACGAAAGTTGTAGCCCTTTTAAATAGCTTTCCAACGATATATTATAAAGCCCAAACGGATTTCTGAGCGAAAAGTTATGTGCATTTTACTGGACAATGCGCAGTATCCCTACTCGATTCTTCGTTTCGTTCTTAAAGTGCACTATCATCCGTTGATCCCCGAACACGATCCCAACTTAATACTTGGGCTTCTACTCAGAATTCAAAGCTCCAGAATAGCTTGAATTTATTCCATAAGATCTACAAAGATCGAAATCACTCCTACAAGGCATAAAACACACATTTAGCAAAACACTAGCGATTAAAGCTCAAACTCAATTAAAGTGCAGTAAATTAGAGTGTAATAAGCGGCTAAAATACGTAATCATAGCCTATCATCAGTATACATGTTAGAAAAATGGCAGAGTAATTTCATGTACAATAATTTTTTTGGGTGATTAAAAGTACAGCTACATCAAGTAATTTGTGATGCCCATGACGAGGGTGGGGTGATGAGGGCGGGTCAAGCACGACTGGGAGGCTTCTAGGCTGGCAAACTTCTGAAGAGGTCGTGCACATTTCACCTTAGGCGAATCGTACATCAGAATGTGAGAGGAAATTGAAGAGCTTTATAAGACATGACACAAATTCACATGTTACGCGCGCTTTTGAGGCTCGAGATAATGTAGCCCAAAAGACAAATCCATCCAGGTCTTGACCTAAAGGGGGACAATATGTGTCATGGCTTGGGTCGTGACATAAATCCAATCCACTAGACATAGAGAGGAAAATTATCGAGAGAAAACATAAATAAACCCTCAAGTATATTTGGGATAAAGTATAGCAATTTTCGCTTAAAATATTTGTATACATGACTGTCTGAGACAATATCCAAAAGTAATGAACTCCTAAAATAAAAGAATAGGCTGGGCTGCATTCAATCACAAATGCAGAAGTTTTTGTATTTAATTTGGGTTGGCATGAAATTACTATTTACCTTGTTATAGCATCATAACATCAGTTGATATGTGACCACATGCGCTCATATAGTGAAGTAGATAAGTTCATTCAAACTCAATAATTTTAACTTAGATTTTGTATGTATTAAAAAATATACTAAATAAGTACAAGTATGTAACAGATTTTGAACCCATAATATTTGATGAGACATAATAAAATATCGAATACACATCTATAAAGTTCAAATCCCGAATCCGACATTGCGTGACCATAATGATCAAAATTTAGTAATACCATCTAATTTGGTGCTACCATTTGGGCAGATAGAGAATGCGACACACTGGGCTGTTTTTGCCAGCAAAAAGAAAAGGTTAATTTTCAGTCAATGGCCTTTCAATGACCTCCAAATATTTCTAATTCACAGTAGATAAAGAAAAATTATCACCACCAAAAGATGTGGTGCAGCGGATGGGGCCGCTCTTCCCTTAACCAGAGGTCCCGAGTTCGAGCCCTGGGTATGGAAAAATCCTTGGTAGGGATCGCTTTCCCCCGAATAGGGCCCTACGCGGTGCGAATCCGAATATAGTCGGGCTCCAATGTGGGTACCGGACATCGTGTGGGAAATCAAAAAAAAAATATCATTAGTGGTTGGCCTGTAACACCACTTCTTATAAAATTAGCAGCTACCTGTTCTAAGAAACAGAGTAATGAGGGGTAAACGAAAAAGTTCTAGATCATCCATAAAGCACTTGAATAGACCTATTTTAATTTTCACAAAATAAGCATTAAGAAAGTAAATTGATACTGTTACAGTTCCCTGATACTGGACACGAAATAATGTTTGTTTCAAAAGGTAATTAATTACTAGTATGTTTGATCAAAATATATTAAATCTTTTGTTAAACTAATTAATAATAAGATAGAGGAGGAATTCTAATTAAATATAATACGATCTAGACAAAAACTTGAACAGATCCGTGGAATGAGACCACGTTTAAGAATAATAAAGATCAGACACGTGTTCAATGATTATCAATGAATGTTGTAATAAGAACATGCAATAAATATGGACAACGGTAATAAATGTAATAAAGAGGAATTTATCACCCAAATGTTAGATGGTTTTGTTGATTCTCCCTCCTGACAGCAACGTGGGACTAAGATAAATGAAGATGGATAAGGAATTTTTGGATCTTGTGAACAAAGAATGAATAACGTGTGTAAAGTTATATAATCAGTGAGCAAGACAATATTTGTATATTCTTTTCAGTCAACTCTTTACAAAGTGCTCTTATCAAGAAGTGAAGATCCCCCTTTTGTTCTCTATCTCTTCCTATTTATAAGGGATATCCCTAAGGAACCCTAAAAAGTACAACATAAGGAATATCTAAAGGAATATTCCTTATGTCTATTTCTAAATCTATCCTACCGCTACTTATTTACTCCATTTGCTCGTCCTTAGCGATAATCCTTCTGAAGACAACTCCTCGCTATTATGCCGCAGTCAACCTCGTCCTCGACCCTGTTTATCTGCAGTTATCAAGCCGTCCAAATTTAGATCAATACAATTAGTCCCTCCGCTTGTTGAGGTAGTGATCTTGCACGTCCTCGATAAACGGACCCGGTCTATGTCCGTTTAGAAGAAATTTGGTTGTGTTGATTAAATCGAAACGGCCGAGGTCGAAAAAGCGACATGGCCAGCGAGGCTGCGGTTGGTGTGGCTAACATGGGGTGACGTCATGGCCACGTGCGTCATCATTACGCGTCTTCCCGATGCAATGTCTGTGCTTTTGTCGTTTCTATTTTGGTGCCATTGACGGTCTGCTGCTTCGATTCTGGTGCCACCCAACCCTATAAATATATAGGGGGGGGGCTTCATTTTTGAAAATTTTCATCATTTCTCATTTCGCCTGTGCACTGCTCTTCTTTGATCTTCTTCTCCGATTTCTGCTTTCAATTCCTTGCAGCTTCATCAATTCTAATGCCTGACTTCTCACCCAATCAATACCTTCTTCAGAATTTGTTGCGTACGTTTTCTACGGAAATATGTCAAAATCCCCTCATATTCATGACGAGGTCTCCGATGCCACTCCTTTATCGGTAGCTCTTCCTCCCCGTGGTGAGGAATTCATGATTGAAGATGATGACAGGTTCCCCACTGTGGAGGAGGTAGTCCCCAAGAATCCTTTGGTCAGACATGACTTCCCAAAGGAACCTGCTCCTGCACCTGCTCAGAAGCTTTTTGAGACGGGACCGCCTCAGATAACCGACCTTCGGTCTGAACATCGCATTCCTCCTCGCGTCAAAATTATTTCGGCCGGGGGCAACATCGTAGGGGTTCACCGACCCGGATACTGTGCTTTCTACGTTTACCCATTCTTAATTGGTTATTCTTTTCCTATCCCCCCATTAGCGGAAGAGTTATGCCGATTTTATAACGTCTGCCCGACGCAGCTCTCCCCTTATTTGTATAAAGTATTCTGATGCTAGCGAAGTACACAGAATTGGCACGCAGAATTAGCCGGTTCGAGGTCAACGTTCGTCACTTGCTGCTGATACCCAATCTTTCCCTCATATTTTTTAAATACATACACACACACACACACATACACACACACACACACACACACATATATATATAC